GTGGAAGTGGATGTAGGAGCGGTTGAGGTGGGAGTGGTGGATGGACCAGCGGTGGAAGTGGAGGTAGAAGCAGTCAAGGTGGTGGTGGGAGTGGGGATAGAAGGACGTGGGGGCGGACTAGAACCTGACATGGAAGTGAGAATCATGTAGTGACGACTTGAATGGAAGGCCTCGATGTTTGTGCATGTTATCTATCCGGCTGGAGAGGTCGGAGATGGAGGTGGTGAAGGAGGATTGGAGGGCACGGATGGTGTCTTGCATGGATCGCATCATGGTGAGTAGGGAGCTGTTGGTGTGGGTGACGTCAGGCGCGGGTTGGTCTGTCGTGAGGTCATGAAGCAAGCTGTCTACGGATGCGGTGTCAATGACACTCATGTTGATGCTTGAGCAACCATCCGCCATTGTGGAGGTAGAGGCAGGGGGCGAGGAAGTAGTAGCGGTGGAGGCCGAGGCTGCAGTGGCATTCTTAGCGGCTTAGGCAACGACACGCAGAGAAGTCTTGGTGCGGTGGGTATGGAAGAGAAGAAGATGTGTGAATTTTGCCGTTTTTTTTTGTATTAAATTAAAAAATTTAATGCATTTTTAAAGGAAGAACTTGAAAATTTATGGGGGAATTAACTGAAATCGGATTTTGAAATTTCCAAAATAAATTAATTCAATTATTTATTTATTTATTTAATTTGAATCTAGGCTACCAGAGTGGCCCGGGTACACTTGCCCGGTCGGGCCAAAAAGATATAAAAATTTTAAAAATAAGATTTTTTTATTTTTTTTTTTTCGTAAAGAATTTCGATGTGACCCTGAGGCAAAAGTTGTTCAGTTTATTTTTCTGCATAACATAATTTTTTTTTTCGGATTTTTTTTTTTTTTTGGTTGGGACCTTCCCTGGTCCTTGCACGGCCGGGCCGCCCGGGAAAATATGGTGACCAGCCCGCAGAAGGACCAGCGAAGGTCCCAGCAAAAAAAAAAAAAAATCCAAAAAAAAACCATGTATACGGAACAATAAACTGAACAGCTTTTGTCTCAGGGTCACATTGAAATTCGTCTCCCAATTTAGAATAAAAAACTAGGCTGTTTTTTCTGGCGCCCGGGCACCCAACTTGTGCTCGGATACATGCCCGGGTGCCCAGTCGGGCATGACCCCCCCA